GTGAAATAGAGTACTTAGCAGAGGGAGTGGAAGGCGGTGCCGCAGTGGCGGAATGGTTTGTTGACATTTCTTGGTAAGATTACGTCGTAAAAGACAACGCAGTATTTGACAAGTCTGCCTTTTCGTCGGAGGTCGACGGGCCTTTCCCTGTCGCGACTTTCCTCCAACTTGCAATTCTGCGGAGCTCCGAGTCGTTCGTTGAGTTACTTCAATCCACACTAGTGCGGGACAAAGAGAAAAAGTGCTGCCGTTTAGAAGATTGATTTTCCCGCAACAAATCGACAACCGTAAGAAGTTGCACAGCCTGATAGTCTAAATCGACAGTCAACGAAGGCGCCTTGCAGTCGCAATCAAAGCAGACAGCTCCTTTTCATCACATTGTACAGCCCACCTAGGTCTTCCTCTTCATTGGTAACAGGTTTGCCTGCTCCTCGAATTTTAGTCAGAACGTCACACCAGAAACATGACCTGTGTGTCACGACGAACCTTAAATAAATGCTAGTTGACCGGATTGTGAACAGAGAAGTAGCGAATACATGTAGTGGGGATGCCGAGCCTCCACCTCCACCTTCGAAGACCAATGGCATAGCACCAAGCGGAATGTTTGCACATTGTCGTAATGTGACAAAGTCCAAAGTTTACTTGAGTACTCAGTGCTGGTCGCACATTCCTCCGTCTACACTGTGGTGAGCTACCACCTCTATTGCATTAGATCGCCGCTTTGATATTCACCATTTAATGTAGATTCATGAGAGCACCTTCACACTGTCAAATGGCAAGTTGACATTCTGACGTCCAACGTGCGGGCATTATGCTGAGGCTGAAAATCAACGTGGTGCAATAGTTCCATCAATTTCGTTTGGTTGATGGTGCAATGAGTCTTTTCTTCAATGAACAGCCTCCAAGACGCTTTTTTTTACCATTTCAGTCCCAAAATGCCCGACCAAGACGACCCTGATGGTCCAACCAAATCGCAAACCGCCTTCTTAGTATGGATGACTGGACTTGTTCTTTCAATAGCCGTCTCACTCACCTTTTGTCCTCATGATTGGCAAAGCCCGTAAGCTCACGTCTCAACCCGAACCATCAAAGACTGAAAAGCTACAAGAATGAGTGAATTCTCCTTCCTTTACAGTATCTGCGCAACAAGTCGATTCATATTCACGCTGTTTTTGGTGCCCATTCTAATCGCACTAACGGTCATCCAACTCCTTCTTTACATTCAATGAGACGTAAGTCGAAAGAAGCCAGGGGAGTTTGCACCCGTTATCCTTATCAAGCATGGCATAAAAGTTAACTGGTTGACACCTTGAATAAGGTTCGATTGTATGAATTCCATGTGCTTTACAGATAGACCGTACCCACCCTTCCTAGAAAAAAATTAACCAATCGAAAACTCCATCAACTGTAAAATCACCCAACTCCCAAATAAGACAGCCAGATGAAGATTACTCGATAATAATGGGCGAAATTCATTTAAAACAAACCCCAAAATAATAACTACGTACCTCTTTATAAAGGGTAAACCTAAAGAGCATGTTTCTGGATTTAAGTGCCATCAGGTTTTGTTTTACAGACGGGGACCGAATCCAGTGTCGCAATGATGAGATAAAACGCACGCCACCACCGGGAATGCGACACGTAAGCGAGCTGAGCCTCAAACTATTAGCAAGGTGCATATATTACCAGTGAGATATCAAATCTTTAAATAAATACGTGCACCGCCAAACAAACGTGGCATTTACAAGTCTAAACCATGGCGATTCCTGTCCATGGCCTGACGTCGAGCCTCAGCACGCTTGGAAGCCCGCAAGGCGGCGGCATCGGTACGCTGCTGACCAGCAACCGCCATTGCGATGATGCTGGGATGCCGACGCGGGTCAATGCGGGAAACGGGGAGGGAACGTTTGCGACGAACTTCATCGTATGCCTTACGACGGTGAAACGCACTTTCACCTCTCGCCGCTGCTACCAACGACGTTGGTGGGATCAAATTAGGAAGAGCTGTAAGATGTGAAGGAAAGCGAGGGGAAGGGGAGATGTAGGGTGCATTTAAAATGGGAAGAAATCCTGCACTTACTAGAGGCTCGTTTCTTCACTATGCGGGGTGGCGCTATCGGAGAAGAGGATGATGTTGGTGCCAGGGTGAGAAGTAGTTTTTCTAGAAAGAACGCAATCTACATGTTAATGAAGGGAAAAGGTGATGGAGATGAAGTTGGAGACATATTAGGGCATCTTTGCTGGAAATAACTGCTATCAGGCTTGTTGAAATGTGCTATCGGTAATGATATTAAGGAAATTTAGAAATCAGAAGGGCAAAAATAAGGAGACCGAAGCTCAAGTCTAGCAAAAGCAGCGGTCAAATTAGCGTCAGTTGGAAACAAAGAAACACAAGACAATTAAATTGAGTCATCACAAGGAATACGCAACTAGCAAATAACGACAATATTTCCTAGGCTAAAAACTCAGTTCCGGTAACTTTTAGGAAACTAGTAACGCTGAAAATTAACTAGAGGGGAATAGAAGGACTATAGAAAATGGAATAGTTGATAAAGTACATTTCACTTACGAAAGGGTTCTCGTCTTTCCCTGATTGGTGTTGCGCTTGTGCAAGATGACGATGAATCAGGCTCTGCTAGGGAGGGCTGCTCCAAATTAACGTCTGGAAGGAATCAGTGACAAAAATCAACTAAACAGGACAAGCATGAAGGATCCCTCAGAGTACAATGACAACGGCCTTATATGTCAATTCTTGATTATTTACAGAGCGGAATTATTTGCAGAATCCCAAAGACTAGCACAAGAAAACTTCCCGAATTTCGCCACGAATCTAAAGACCTTACTTGCCTAAACTGGACTCCAGTAATCGCAGTGTAGCTCATAAAAAACACACAGGAATCAGTGAATCTTGCAAGAAACGTCTCAAGTCGGGCAAGTTAGACCAATGGACGCGCCCGGCACACGACCATTTCAACTACCTAGCACGATTTTAGATGGTTAGGTTATGGACAACGTGGACGCAACCCTTAAAGATGAGCTGTAATTCAGCCACCACCTTATATTTACAGGAAAACTAGGTAATCTAGACACGAAGAACCAACAAGAAGTGATAGAGGAAAAAGAGATGATAGACTGGACTAAGCTGCATATTTACCTACCAAAATGAATAGGCGTTCGTGTTCGACCGTTAGCATCGAGAAGGAGTGAAGCAGAGTACTTTCTATTGAATTTGGAATCTGGAAGTAAATTACAGATTGGGTGATTTAAAATACCAAAAAGGAAATAAAAAATTATTCGGACAAAGGACAGCCGCACCACTTTCTAAACACGGGTTACTAAAAACAAATGAAGGGGTTTTATTTGGGAGGCAGCAACTATACTGAAACCACCGTGAGAATGAACTTGAACGCTACTAGCTGCTTTGAGCAAACCACAATACCTTTGCGGTCAATCACGGGGGTAAGGGATGGGAAGGTCGCATCTTGAAGCTACAAATAGAGTACGGTTTGTGATTAAAATGACATTCATACCTCAAATGTGAGATTGCAACTAGAAGAATTCTCCGCCAGATAACTTTCATCTGACATTTCGGTGCTCATTCTCACACGGTGGCAAAGGTACAACCATAGAATATTGCATAAAACGAAGCAGGCAAAACGACCGGCAACGATACAGAACACACTAAAATAAAAGAGCGAAGTTGAAGTGAACAGCAGACTTTCGGGACGATATTCAATGACAAGTTTGAGGGTCTCAAAAACTACTATTTACAGAGGTACTCTAGCGCGTTCTTCATCTCTTCCTCTCTAGCCTTCAAACCCCTCAAAAAACAGGTTGAACCGATAGTGAAGTGTATATTAATCAGAGCTAACGGGAATCTGCACAGCTGTGAGGCAGCATAGATAACAAACACCTCCCCACCTTGGGAAATATTGGCGGCCCTCCTATCACGAGATTCAGGCCGCTCGCCCCTTCACGACTGAGTATGCGCTCAAACAACAGGGGGAGGCAAAAATGGAACTACTATCTTTTTAAAAATTTAAGCTAAAGTCTTAGCCTAAAATATATCTTTGTAATTATAAATAATAATTATTTGTGTTTTTTTGCATTGTTTTTCAGCTGTGTTATTCGTCAGAGTGAATGCAGTAGCTAACTTAATAATAGTATTTCTTTACTATAGATATTTTCGATTTTTGGCTTTTTATGAGTAACTGGGATTTCTTAGTGCAGCGCAAATATGGCCTTGAATTATTTACCTAATATTTGTTTATCGGTGGGCTATTTATAGCATAGATTGCATAATTTTTGCTGTATAATTCTTGAGTGCATAATGTTAATGATAATTCTGTACAGTTTTTGGATATTTTGTTTTGTTTCGCTCTGCATTGCTTGACCTAAAACATCTACGCTAATCGTTTGTTATGGTGTCACATGTCACTTGGTGTTAGTGGGCTACTTTGTCATGGGAGAATGTAATGCCAGCTGCGACTCAGACAATCACTCGTCGCTTCCACCTCGTTCGACTAAAAAAAGAGGCTTTGGTAATTCACTGAAGAAGCTCCTGGCTAGCGCTCTACGTTGTCAAGTTGAATGGTATACGACTCCGGACCTTTATCGCACGAGTCGTGATATGTTTCCTGAAAAGGAGGACGTGGATAGGGGTGGCGAGAATGCTCCTCAAAAGGCCCTTAAAAATACTCCTTGTAATGGGGCCGCGGAGTCGCCTGAAATTTCCTCTCACAAAAGACCTGCGCAGTCAGATTTAAGTCCAAAATTAAGTACTCCATCGGGCTTAGAAAATCTTGGAAACACGGTGAGTATTCTGCTTAAATGCAACGCTTCTTCCTCGCGTGATACCATTTGTATAATAATTGGCATGGCTACGTATTTTATCCCCCTTTCAACTTTTAGTGTTACCTCAACGCCATTTTGCAGTGTTTAAGGTCTACAGAACTCGTACGTGACTATTGTGACAACACTGATAATGTCCTCTGCAAACAACTTGGGTCTAACTGTGACCTGTTCCGAAGTAGGTCACTTTTCTGTTCGCTTAATAATCATAACTCCGTTACCATCACACGACTTTTCTGTTGTTTTTAATGCATCGCACTTTCCGTGTTAGCTTTTGCCGGTTTGATAAGGAAAATGGAGTCGGTTACCAATGGTAGCATTGGGTCAAACACGATACTGAAGTTCAAAAACGCTTTTACGAGGTTCGTCCCCTGCTACGGCGGAAATCTGTGAGTGGTTACTTACCGACGCGTACTTTTCTTTATGCTGCCATTGTAATATCCATCTTAACAATAAAGAGACTATGACAGAATTCGGGGGTTGTTATAAAATGAAGGAAGCTAATCTAGCTTGCTTGTACAATGCATTTTTGTACTGTTTATGCTAACTTATTAAATTAAATGAGGTGTGGTCAGTCGAAAACCGCCAATTGTTCTCATTCATCCAGGCAACAGGACGCCTTAGAATTCTTTACTTACTTGCTGGACGGACTACATGAGGAGATAAAGGAGCGTCCACAAACTCCTGTCCTTGATGAATCCACTCTTCCAAGGCCGGTCTCGACTGCAGTATCACCATCGCCGTCCATTGTACCAACCAAATGTATGCGACGCTGCAAGCTGCGGATGGGTGGACTTAAACACAGCGAGAGCAGTGGCAAACTGACTGCGGCCAGTGAAGGGGATGTAGAAATAGGTTTTGACAGCGGTGATTTGGACTGGGCCAAGCCCTCGATCCGAAAGTGGTTGAGGGCACGTCGACCAAAGGTACGCGCAGTATCAATCCGTCGTAATGAGAGCATCCTCCTTGATGACATCTGTCAGCCTGGTCTGTAAGTCAGAAAGTTTTGGCCTGGTTTCCGAAATATAAGCGCCTTCAATTTCGACAATCGGTTCGTTATCTTTTTGAGACATTTATCTTCCAAAGAAGGTAATAGTGAATGATGTGATGCTGGCATTGCACCCCCTTATGCATTCCTGCATCAAATTAGTTGCATATTTGAATAAAATTTTGAGTACTAAATTTGTTTTTAAAAAAACCTGGTTATTTGAACAAGTGGACAAAGGTGTAGTTTTGAGCTTGGTTTCAGGTCAAATATCAAAAGTTGGGCAGCAAACAACTTTTGAATAGCCTAGTTCGTTTGTCCTCTGTATGAGCTTGGAATTTCAATCACTCTTCCCTTTGCTGAAGACAAAGTCATTTAAAATTTTCCTTAGCTAGAAATAATGCAGGGACAAGTGTTATTTTGCCTTTGTAGGTAAGGTCAAGGTTTCCTCTAATATCTCTTTCTCTACTCTGCTCTCTTAGGGGCTCCGCTGAAACAACTGCCACAGAAAAGAGCTTTCTAAAAGGTAAGCTTCGCCGAAGGTTGATCCAAGAACCCATTCGTTTTTGTTTCGAGTAATGTTGGCCCACCTACCTGCCTACCCTCCTTGCCCCACAGACACCTTTGTGGGTCATCTCCAAACTCAGGTACGATGTCTCCAGTGCAATAACGTCACCACACGCGATGAGCTCTTCTGGAATCTGGCACTATGTGTTCCCGAGGTAGGAATTTACTAGTGAAGCGATAGGTATCTCACTTCTTCACTAGCCATCATTGCAGTAGTCGAGTGTACCGAAGCAGATCTCGTAGGGGTGAGCCTGTGTCGATGAGTAGGCTCCAAATTTTGATCCATTTCTATGTCACTTTTTCATTCGTGCATTCTGTCAGTTGAACTGCTTTGGAGAGGCTTGATTAGGGACCTTCATTCATTCCCTATCACAGTCATTCTAGTAAGAATTTCCTCTCCCTTGAACGCCGTCTTACACAGTCCTCGTGGTTACCCCTTCGGGCATCACATAACAATCGAATGTGATTCGCGAACATCATCGTATTTCCCCTTGTCAGATAGTATAGAATACATAGCGCTTCATTGTATTAGCGCGTCACTGAAGGGATGTGCTACTTCAGGTATCTTCGGATAAGGAGAGCAAAGATAAGGCACAACATCGGATATCCTCCTCTTCATCAGCAGTCGACATGAGCGTGAGCCTCGACGACTGCTTATGCGCCTTTACAAAGGCAGAAGTCCTCGATGACCTAGATAAACTCGTGAGTTTGCAACGCTTCTCTTATTTTACCTCTACATTTGTGCATTTTGACACTGTCAAAATTAGTGATCTTGCTCTAACTCGCGAATTAGGGTTATATCGCGATGTCGGTGACCCGCGAGAGAGCCATAGGCACATCTGTCTCATGTAGCTGTACCTAACCCATCGTGTTGAACTTGCTTTCTAGTTCTGCACTAAGTGCAAAACTCTCACCAGAACGCAGTTGCAAGTGATGATATCCCGGTTACCGAAAATCCTCGTTCTACGTATCCTTTGCCCTATTAGAGTGTTCTCATCAATTCATGCACGCACTTTGAAATTTTGTGTTATACTACTTGACATTTGGACGCGCAGGTGCCAATTCGAGACCACCGAGGCCCCTTGCGTCGATCCACTATAGTGCTATTAGGTTTATAAACATTTTAATCGACCGAAAGTATCTCATCCCTGGTGCAAAACTTGTAACTGTCTACTCACAGTTTTACGTTGGAAGGAAGTGAGGATATGTGATTTATGACGCTTTATTGTTGTATTTCGAAGCACTTTCGCACGCTTTTTTAAGTAAATTAAAGGCTCCTTAACTCACTCATAATTGCACAAATGCAGAATTCCAACGTTTCGAGTCTACCTGTTGCAAAACCAAGAAGCAGCATCTCATCAATTTCCATTTCGAACAGGATATGGCTCCTTACTACGTTAATGGTGAGTTTATGAATAATTGAATCTCTCTCTCAATCGACACGATTTCCTGTTTGTGTCCTGTTTCCTTTTTGCTACTTTTCTCCCGCGTATTAGTTGACAAGGCGACGCGGGAATTTTGGCAAGTATGCAATCACGCTCATCAGTGGGTATACTACACGTCACCGTTGTCATCACTCATTGGTCGGGTAGTTGGCTTTTCTTCTACAAGTAAAGGCCAAAGGGGGTGTGTTGGTGTGGCTGGTTCTCCCATTTGTTTGTTAGAACAAGCTAACGTGTGCGTGCGTGCGTGCGTTCGAAATATTGGCATCATGCCAATCACAACTGAGCTTTTGGTTACTGCTTTCATGTCCCTTCCCATCTCTTCACTTTTCCGTGATCTCTGTAAGCTTCGTCACCTCTTTTTCCTGTGCGATGAAGCTTCCAAGTTATCGCCTTTCGTTGTAAATGAGAAAATAATTATAAGTGAGTAAGTCGCCTGCGCAACACAGCCTCGAGTCCGATGCTAATACATTTATTCTGGACACTGGCGCCATTGAATGGCTAATGTGGAAAAAGTAACGTTGACTACGCTCTTTGAAGACAAAATGTCGCTCTTTGCTGCCTTCACCAGGATATTCCATGACGGGAAAAACTCGGTCATTATCGTTAAGCACTGATTTCCTGGTTCAGTGTGGGTGAAATTTGACGTCAAAATCAAGTGCATCCAGTAATGTGGCATGCACCTACTTAACTACGTCGTGTTTCATCAAGTTTTCTTGTTGTCACTTGGATGGCGCTGGACTTTTTCCAGTTCCGTGCGTTGCCTTAGCGCCCACCTTTTGGACTGCTTGCACTTCTGTATCCACCAGACGTGTGGGCGTGCGTATGACAGCAATGTGACTCATCGGCTGAATTGTCATGCGTTCGTGACACGGCGGCTGTACCTCCCTCCACATCTCTAGCGCCGTGACATTTACCCTCCCAACAGTTTAGTTTAAAGCGGGTCTTCCATTATGCACGTTATCTGATTCTCGTTAACGTTTGCAATTCAGTGTCTCCGGTCGTCATAGGTCCGCGATATATCAGCGTATGACGTTTGAAATGTCTACTTTCACAACAGATCACATCTTGTATTGTTCTTTTCTTATAGGTTCTACAGAGAAGCACGTAGCTGCAGTGCCAGAAAGGGCATCAACGCTACCCAAGTGTACTAACTCTTCAGCCAGTCAACAGCCAGTGGACTCTGCTGCTGTAAATGATGTCACTTCCAATTCCTCAACCACGCCATCTACATCGAAGGCGGACGTCACGTCTGCTTCGGGCTCGACGAACTATCGTCTCTATGCAGTAGTCTACCATCAGGGTGGGACAGAGCACGGACACTACACCGCTCGGTGTCATCTGCCCTCTCCTGATCCGAGCACCATACCACACTCCTGGTTCCTTTTTGATGATGAAAAGTACTTTAAGGAGAATTGTCTTATGCTAATTTTTAGTTAATTTGATTAAATTAAAAGTAGGTAATGAATTAGGTAAATGAGAATGAATCGCTACAGCAAAATAGGAGCTTCTCTTTCACTTGAAACAATTAAATGCGGACCATTCGATAGAGGCTGACGTAGTGACCGTTTTGATTTTGCTAGCTTCACATTAAATGTCAGTCGATTGTCGCCTTGATTAGTAACATTGAAAGTTATTTGCTTGGACCAATCAGAGTTGCTTGAATTGATACTGACCGAGTCCGAGCTCACTTTGCTGCTTTGGCGGACGAAGACAACAAATATTCGTGAGAACTGAGAAGGACCATTTGATTGTCAAGGTGTGGCACACTTTTCGCGGATTTTATTTGCATACCTCACAATAATTCACTTGGTAACTCATCCTGCTACTCTATGGCGCGTATTTCGTTATTCCGTGTTTGTTAATTTCGCCTCAATTGATACATTTATCTGTTCCCTGTACTTTTTTGGCATTTCAAATGCCATTTTTCATTTCGCCCCCTCGTGTGTGTGTTGCTAATGATGACGATCAAAGGGAGGTTCATGAAACCCACAAAGAGTACAGGTGTTGCAAATATTTACTCCTTACATGTTCATGCACCATGTCTTTGCATGGGTACATGAGACCTCGGCAACACACACGCAGGTACATACGCGATCATTCGGAGCTCTCGGTGTATTCATCTTTCGATCAAAATGATTGATTGATCTGGGCTTCCTTAGTCTACCTTCTCACCCATCACCTTGGGTTAGGCTTGGTTCTTTCATGTAGCTTAGTCCCCTGCTAGGGACTGGAACCATCATTCATTTCCCCAATTAGGCCGTGACAATTCACCGAACCACGGATTCATTTATTCTCCCCTCCCATTCATCCAACCTCATTTCTTCTCCTTGAAACAGGAAACATCCATTAGTTTGTCTTCGGACCGAATGAAAGGCTTTCTTCTTGACCGTCTTTGTTTCATCCAAGGTCCTCCATGTGGCTAGTTTGTGTTGGAAAAGTTAAGTTTTACTGTAAACTGGTTCATTGGGCATTCATTGGCCAACAACACCTTCGTTTTGTTGCTTTGATCTGTCTTCTTGTCGTGTCATGCTTTCAGAGGAGGGTATAACTCGAAATGATTTGCTACGTGTTTCTATCCACCTGTGTCTCAACTCACCTTTCATGTCAATTCGTCAATTACTTCTACTTCCTTTCAGCGTCTCACACGTCCCTAATTCCAAAGATGTTATTCAGTCGACGGCTTATATCCTCTTCTACGAAAGAATTGACGAAAAGGTCGACGGTGCTGCCCCCTCGAAGGTAATATCGGCTTCAAACTCTGGTTTTAAGCTTCTCTGTTTCACTGGCAATAGGGCTGGAAGGTTTTTAGGCTCACTTTGTGAATTTCCTGGGACGCCTGTTCTGAAAAAAAGCTATACTAATGAATTGCTTTTCCCTCTTAATTTTATGCATTCTTTAAAAAGTGCTACTTAAAGAGACCATTTGCATTGCTAAAGATCGCTGTTAAGCGTAAGGAATGTTCACATCTCGCTGGAATGTTTGACAGCGCTCTATGCTCAAGTTTCGGCTATGTTAGTGCCGACTAGCTTATTTTTTTGGAAAACCAAGGACGAGGCTGTCAACTTTCTTGTGTTGGTGACAGCACAGAGGTGGGCCCTGAGGGACTGACACCACTAGGTCTGTCTGAACCCTGGCTTATATAAACAGCACATCAGGATAGTGAAATTTTACGACATGCACAAACTCTTTAATTTATTCATAACCATGGATCCTGCACACACATACACACTAAAAAGGAGTTGAATGCATTTAAGTCTATGTAAACTGGCACTTTTTTTCTCTCCAACTTAACCATCAACGACAGTATAGGCCTTTGCCTCCTGTTTATGCGAGATTTGCGTATCTCATCGGACACTCTTTTGTCAGGGCCTTTACCAAATGGAGGCACTTGAAGGTGAAATAATTGTGTTGCTCTGAATTATGTAGCGTGTCTTCTAGAGGGCGTATTTTCCCCTCTTCATTGTAGCCGATGCAAGACGCGGTGTCATTAGCCTCAGAGACAGCTCCGGTGAAAGTGACCATTAATGATGATGAAGATGCAATCTAGGTACCAGGAGGAATTGTAGATTGATTGTATATTTTTGTACCTTTATTAGGATCCTTGACTTGATACCCTGTGCGTGTGCTCGTTTACGCACACGCCTCTGTGATTCTTCTTTCATTTTCCCATTTTTATTAACAAATAAACCCCCATTACATTGTCTTCGAGGTTCTCTTTGTGGCCTTAGGGATGTTTCAATAAGTTAAAGCAAGAAAGGTAAGTGTTTGATTCCTTTGGTTGTCTCGAACGGTCTTGAAAGTACGTGGTTTTGGCAACCAACGTCCTTGGACATGCCATTTACGACTAGTCCATTCCCAGGTGAGGCCGTGTGGGTATGGCCGCCAAATTTCATTGACTTTGGATACATCGAAGCAATTTTAGGCTCTTCCTGCTATTCACATTGGCACCCATTCACGCATCACCCGGTTTCCATCTTGGTCTACATCCACCTAGATTCGCCATCATTTTGGAGTCCAATTGAATTATCTGAAATTCTTTTAACGGTTTCTGCCCCTCTGTGTGATCTCGGCTGCATAATCGAAATGCATTTTTCATTCAAGTGCAATCAGATGCCGACTGATTAACAGTTGCCGGGGGCCAAATCATAAAGGTCAGCAAGCTATCATTTTTCTCCTACAAGACTGGGTGTGCTGCCTTCAAACCATTGAAAGGTAAAATATGGATCCATGTTTTTATCGGTGTGATAAGTTGTTGAAGTAAGACAGGCGAAAGATCAAGTAAGAAGCAAGCCAACTACTTTGTGGGAAGGTAGGCGGACGGGTTTCCAGGACATTTTTTTCACAGTTGACTGCATGTGCTACTTTCGGATTTATCGCTGCCTAAAGCACAAAAGGAATGGGTTTTTATACCAGTAAACTGCGTGTCTCATGCCATTTAATGTACGAGTCTTATTTGGGGTTGCCAAATGGTACGCCAAGTGTGTGCATGGCCCTTAAGATGTGTGCTCAGAGACGGGGTGATGATGTCACTTGTAGGTGGCGCGATAGGTGAGCTTGAAGGACACGATCCACAGTAAACTGACAAATTAAGCTTTGATGGCTTGACAAGAGGGTGTCTTCCGGGTGGTGAATATCCATAGTCATTCGCAGGATTTGTTTCAGCGTCGAGGAATAGAAGATTTTTGCACACAGAGCTTACCCATGGCAAAAGCCAACCCATTGACTGTTACGATGGTGCGATTTGCCGTGAAGGTCATTTGACAACCTTGACAAGCACCAAAGGTAATGCCTTATACAAACCACCAATCTGAGTCAATGTATTATCCCCCACTTTTCGTAGACGAGTAAAACTGAATTGGAGGTCGTCAGATTATCTGCCACTCAAGTCACAAAACAGAATCTGGCAAGTGTCTTCCAGACCGAGATTCTCACTGCCGGAATAAATGCAATGGAGTTATTCATTGGAGAATAAGTAACTCGATTCATCACAAATAAGGTGAATTTGATGGATCACCCCTTGTCCCTCCTAATTCTGCCAATCCTGATTTAGCATAGCTTCTTTGACACTTGAGGGTTCCCTAGATTTCATGGGCTGTAAGGGGGAATTAAATTAGGGTTACGTAAGTACTTTAGCATT